ATCATATCTTGTTCCTTTTCTCTTCTTATGCATTCATGTTAGTTTTAGGTTGCATTTGCATACATATGCATGTTTGGTCCTTTGAAATAGGTCTTTTGGAGCATTCTGGAGCATATGGGACATGAGGAGCATGGAGGGACTTGGCACATGGACGCAGCTCAACTGGATACGCAAAGGAAGAAGGGAGAAGCCATCTTGAAGACCAGCTCGACCGTCTACTCGACCAACCGGTCGAGTTCCTCAACTCGACCGGCCAAGCTTCAACTCGATCGAGCTGAGAAGTCAAAGTCAAACCCGAAAAATGTTGCTTCCCCCTTGACTTTCCTTTGACCCTAAACCTAATCCTCTTGTATTTAAAGGCTCTAAGCCACGAAAAAACCACCAAGCTTTAGATTATTTTGTTTTAGTTTCTTTTAATTTATTGTCTTTTACTTTTTAGCAATCTAATCCATCTTTGTGTTCTTGAAGCTCTTGCTTCTTGAATCTAGATCCTGGATTAATCTCTTTGTATTTGCACTTGCTTATTTCAATAAAAGTTGTTTAATTTCATCTCCTCTTTCTTATGATGTCTCTTTTATTGCATTTGCTTGTGTTTACATTCATGTGTAGTGAGTAGTTACCCATTAGGGTTTGAGATGGGATAGATTAGAGGTTTCATATGCTTAATCCTTCTAGCTTATGGTCTTAATCTAGATTCTCTCTCTTTTGGATAGATCTTAAGGCTACATGACCACTACCCCTGGCTTGTAAGTCCTTAGGCGATCCCCACACGAAAGTGATGGCATTCGCTGGAAAAGATCCACTAAGAGCTCCAATATCTCTTGCTCTAGAAATAGAGGTCTAAGGGGTTGGATGGATTAGTTTGGGCAATGATCCTATAGCCTCCAAGGTTTGATTCTCACTGGCTAACCCCCTGTTTCTGAGATCATTCCTTGGTTGATAGCCTTCACCTTGGGAAAGGGTTGGTAGGCATTGAGAAGCCCAATATCAAGAGAAGCCTTGATACAAGGAGTTTTAAGAGCAGATGATTAAGTGTAGTTCCTTTGATTGCAAAACCCTGTCTTGAACCCTAATTCTCTCTTATTTGTTAAAGTCGTCACTTTAGCTTTGTTTTCTCAACTCGTCCCTAAACTCGATCGAGCTGGTACTTTGTTCTACTCGACTCGAGTCTTGGTCGAGCTGCTTGTTACTGCTTTATTTACTTTTACATTTCATTCTTTTCATTTAGGTTGTTAGTGTTACCAAATCTTTACTGCTTGCTTGACTTTCTGGTTGTTTCATATTCTCAAAGAGTGACAAGTTTCCCATTTTGGATTGATAACCTCTTGTACTACATTGACTATGATGGTTAAGAGGAATTGATTGATTGTGATTGCACCATTTCATCTTTATTCACCCCTGTTTGCATTCCACCTCATATCTTATCATCCTTCATTCATATCATATCACATCCACCGCAAAACCTTATCATCAGTACATTCTTTTCTGAAGAGACAAAGCCAGCACCGCCTAAAGCAACTCCGTGACTGTTAAGAGAATACTTGATTGATTCTGATAACAAAGATACAACGTAGATCGGGATCGGTATCGCTCCGTCGCCAAGCTACTTTCTCTCACTTGATCGGAAGAACAGGCTCTTCGATCACTCTCTCTCTCTCACTAGTTTGTTACACAATTTCTGGATAAGATTCTCAAATGTAAATGAACAAGTATTTAATAAAAGTCTATTAGCTTCTTTTACTCTTCCAGCTCCAAACTCGTATCCACGTCACTCGTAGTCGCTGGACTGGCTTTCTTCCTTCTCCTTATGTACCGGTTTAGTGGCCTAAGAATACCCCCCTCGTCGACAAGAAGCTTGTCCTCAAGTTCTGGAAACTCCTTTAGTAAATCCGAGGCACGAACCCACGTCTTCTCGTGCTCCGGTAGACCCTTCCATTGGACTAAACCTTCCAAATGGCCTCCCATATCATAACGAGTTTCCAAAAGCGCCTCTGGTTCAAGCAATAACGCTGGTCATTGATCAAAGGACTCCGGAAGATCAGTCACTTGATGATTGGACCCCAGAACCGGTTTCAGCTATGAGACATGAAACACGTTATGGATTTTTGACCCCTCAGGCAGCCCCAGGCGATAAGCCACTGCCCCTATCTTCTCCATCACTTCAAAAGGGCCATAAAAACGAGCGGCTAGTTTTTGATATAAGCGTTTCGACACGGATTGTTGCTTGTATGGTCGCAGCTTCAAGAAAACCATATCACCTTTTTCGAACTCGAGCTCACGTCGATGTTTATCAGCATTATCCTTCATTCGAGCCTGAGCCATCTCCAAATGGAACTTAATAGCACCGAGAACTTCATCACGCTCCTTGAGCATCACTTCCAAATCAAAATTTGCTGTCGACTTCTCCTCAAACTTCAATAAGCTCGGAGCCTCTCTGCCATACACAACCTGAAACGGGGTAGTCCCAATGGTGGTGTGAAAGTTCGTATTGTAAGATAATTCAGCCCAGTTCAAAAATTTCGCCCACGACTTCGGTTGAGAAGATGCGAAGCAACGCAAATAGGTTTCCAGACAACGATTCAACACCTCAATTTGCCCATCTGACTGTGGGTGAAAAGCTGTACTGAACTTCAAATGAGTCCCTGCTTGACGGAATAGTTCTGTCCAGAACGAGCTCAAGAAAATCCTATCTCGATCCGAGACAATAGACCCCGAAAGCCGTGTAGCCTGACCACTTCCTGAACAAACTTGTTAGCCACATCAATAGCCGTAAACGGGTGCTTCAGTTGAAGAAAGTGAGCATACTTGCTTAAACGGTCCACCACTACCAATATAACATTGACTCCTTTAGAAACAGGTAATCCTTCAATAAAATCCATCGAAATATCTTCCCATATTTTGTTCGGAATAGGCAGGGGCTGAAGAAGACCCGCAGGACGAAGTGTAGAATATTTGTGCCTCTGAAAGATATCACACTCGGAAACATACTTCTGTATATCCTTGACCATCTTCCTGCAATAAAAATGACTCTGGATCCGCTTCATCGTTTTCAACACCCTATAGTGTCCACCTACTACGCCAGAGTGAAACTCACGGAGGATCATCGGAATATGACTTGACGATCTCGGAATGACCAACCTCCCGTGACACATCAAACGACCATCCACAACCGTATACTCCCTTTTTTCTTCTTTGCCGTCATTAACGCGTTGAATCTGATCCTCTAGTTGCTTATCCTCCGCAATCTCTTTAAAGATATCTTGGAGTTCCAAAGTTGCATGTACCGTTAATGACATCAACTCCTTTGAGCTATAATGTTCTTGATCACGTACAATTCGTGAAAGTCCATCAGCGGCTTTATTCTCTACGCCCGGTTTGTAAATGATATCAAATTCGAACCCCAACAATTTGATAAGCCATTTCTGATACTCGATTGACACTTCTCTCTGTTCCAGCAAGAACTTCAGACTTTTCTGATCAGTATGCACAACAAACCTTCTTCCCAACAAGTAATGGCGCCATTTTTGAATCGCTAACACTATAGCCATTAATTCTCTTTCGTAGATTGGCTTTACCTGCTCCCTCTCAGTCAATCCAGAACTAAAATATGCTATAGGTCGCTGTTGTTGCATCAAAACGGCTCCAATACCATACCCTGATGCGTCTGATTCAACCACAAAGACCTCAGAAAAATTTGGTAAGGCCAAAACCGAAGCTGTCATCATAGCTTCTTTCAACTCCAAAAATGCTTTCTCTGCTCTTTCTAACCACTCAAATTGATCCTTCTTCAGTAGATCTGTTAATGGTCTAGCAATAGAACCCTAACCCCCAACTAATCTCCTGTAATATCCCGTGAGACCCAAATACCCTCTCAATTCTTTCACATTCTTTGGTGACGGCCAATCTCTCATGTCTTGAGTTTTTGATGGGTCCGTAGCGACACCTTCATCTGAAATGATGTGACCCATGTACTCGACCTGATTTTGACCAAAAAGACACTTCTTTTTGTTGGCAAACAACTGATGCTCCACAAAATATCCATCACTACTCTTAGCTGCTCTTCATGCTTCTCCTACGGAGGGCTGAATATCAGAATGTCATCAAAGAAGACCAGCACGAATCATCCCAAAAACGGTTTGAAGAGCTCATTCATTAACGCTTGGAAAGTGGCTGGGGCATTCGTTAAGCCAAACGGCATAACCAAAAACTCGTAATGTCCATTTGTTGTTCGAAAAGCCGTTTTCTCAACATCCTTCTCTTGCATTCTGATCTGGTGATAGCGAGCTCTCAAGTCTAACTTCGAGAAATATTTTGCACCATGAAGCTCATCGAGCAACTGATCTATCACTGGTATCGGAAATTTATCAGCGACTGTCACTTTATTCAGAGCCCGGTAGTCAATACAGAAACGCCAGCTTCCATCCTTCTTCTTGACTAATAATACAAGGCTTGAAAAAAGACTCTTACTGGGTCTAATCGTTCCCGCCTTCAGCATCTCACCCACTAACTTCTCCATTTCTTCTTTATACGCATGCGGATAACGATATGGCCTTACGCTTATGGGGCCAGTGCCGGATATCAGATTTATCGCATGTTCTCGACCCCTCACAGGTGGTAAGTCGGTTGGTTTAGAGAACACTTGAGAATATTCTTCCAATATCATCTGAATCTTCTCCGGAACTTCCTTAATTTCTTCTAACCCCTTCATCTCACTTAACTCCACATCTAACTCTGCATACTCTGCCCATTTCTGCTTCTGCATTTGTTTCAACGACTTCCTGGAAGACTGTAACTCATGGTCCCCAAACAATGTAATCCTCTCGCCATTGTAATTAAAGGACATTTCATGTTTCTCCCAGTCATATTCACACTTGCCCAACGTTCGCAGCCATTGAACTCCCAAGATCACTTCGGTATTGCCCAACTCCAATACAAAGAAGTCGGCGATGAAATCATTCTTCTGCAAATTCAACTTCACATCTTTACAGAAGCCTGAACCATTGACAGTGATCCCTGTCCCCAACAAAATATCGAACGATCTGTTTTTGGCTGGTGCAAGAGATGTTTTGTCTAAAACAGAGGGGTCAATAAAATTGTGAGTAGCTCCACTGTCAATCATAACTATCACTTTGGTGTTTCCAATTGTGCCCCATAACTTCGTTGCGCTTGGTGAGTCAAATCCCAGAAAGGCGAAAAGTGATAGTTGTATCGGTTCCGTCATTAGCTCCATATCTTCATCCAAACCCTCCATCCAATCCTCCTCCATAATCTCGACTACTTCTTCATTCACCACAGTAAAGACTTGCAATGTCATATTGTGGCATGTGTTTTGATGTTCTCGTGACCACTTCTCAGCGCATTTGTAACATAGGCCCAATCTTCTCTTCCTGCTATTTCTGCTGGACTCAATTTCAGCACCCCACTGTAATTTCTTCCTCCATTTGTTTTCCACGGTGGCTTTGCGTTCTGGCTCTGGCTTTTGCTCGGTTCAGCTTGTACACTGGTCTGTGTTGATGGTTTAGGGCTCTCTGAACTCGAACTTGTGCTCCAATTCCTTTGTGTATTATATTGGGAAGCAGAACGCAAAGGAACCCGCTTCTTCTGAAAGGATTTGCTGCTTCTGCCATTGATTTGCAGAAAATACTATCCTCCATTGATATCACAGTACTGAATAGTGCTGATAATCCTCGAGGTTTCTGCATTTTCACTACTTCATGCATCTCTGGCTTCAATCCCAGGTAAAAGACATTCTCCAAATTCTCTTCCTCAACTCCTGTAACAATCGTCGTGAGTTCTTCAAACTCATTCACGTAATCAGCTACTGAACCTTTCTGCCTCAATGCAAACAACCTCATGCGCGGATTCTCTTCCATTTTCTGGTTGAATCTCGCTATCATTCTCTTCTTAAACTAAACCCAATCACGAAATGGATCTCTATTCATCTCTCTGTTGAACCAATTCAGCGCAGGACCTTGCAGCGTGATGAATAACAGCTCTAGCCTTTCCGTGTCGTTGTAATTCCCCAAACGGAAGAACCTCTTATCTTGATTGATCCAAGTATACGGATTAGATCCAGAAAACTGAAATAATTCTACTTTCTTCAACATATTATTTCGATTCTCCAACACGTTGTTGATTCCCCGATAACCTACATTTCTATTTCCTCCAGGTTCAGCTGGGAACGAGTTACGTACCTCGCGAATGCCGTTCGACGGTAACGCGAAATCCTCTCGTGGATTTGGTTCAGAACGTTGTTGCGCCGTCGATTGAGCTAAGGTTTCTGAGATACGTCCTACATTCGCGATTAGCTCCGTGTTTTTATCGAGTGAATCCAATCGTCCGGTCACTTCCTCGTGTCGCTCCTTCCCCAGATTACGCAGCTCCGCCACCTCGCCGTGAAATTCCTCTGTCAAATCGTCGATTTTCCCCATTGTACTGTCGCGAATTCGCTAAGCACCGCACCAATTTGTTAAGAGAATACTTGATTGATTCTGATAACAAAGATACAACGTAGATCGGGATCGGTATCGCTCCGTCGCCGAGCTACTTTCTCTCACTTGATCGGAAGAACAGGCTCTTCGACCACTCTCTCTCTCTCACTAGTTTGTTACACAATTTCTGGATAAGATTCTCAAATGTAAATGCACAAGTATTTAATAAAAGTCTATTAGCTTCTTTTACTCTTCCAGCTCCAAACTCGTATCCACGTCACTCGTAGTCGCTGGACCGGCTTTCTTCCTTCTCCTTATGTACCGGTTTAGTGGTCAAACAGTGACTCACGACCACCACCAACTCCGTGACTCACGACCACCACCTTCGTCGTTGTCGACTGTGACGCACATGAAGTTGGCTTGAGCGGTGGTAACGGTGCTGAGACTCCGAGAGCGGAGGTTTGTGGTCCATCGACTCCGTTCATAGCTAAGATGTCGATGAGCTCAGGATCGTTACGGACGACGATGGAGGCACGGCGGTTATCAACGGCTATAAGCTGAAGAACAAAACCTTCCTTCGATTTTTTATTTTTTATTTACTTTTGTAATAACCTCTCCAAATCACACCTCAATGGGTGTTATTTTCGTTGACCATATTTTTGTCACAAAAATAGGTGTTAAATCTCCTAAAAATCATATGACAAGTTTTTACCCAAATAGTTATTTATTTTGAATAACACTGGATTTGATTTAAGGTTCACAAATGACTAATTCAATAACAGGGCTTGGTAAGTGATTTTAAATGATCTTTCTAAAACTCCATATTCAATAACACTGAATTTGAAATGACATTTAAAAATCCTTATTTAAATAACAGGGTTTTTAAAACGACCTCAATATCACCTAAAATCTTTAAAATCCCTTTTCCAATACACCCCACAAAGATTCCTTTCTCAGTCTGATTCACTTGAAGTCCAAGAAAGTACTTCAACTCTCCCACCATGCTCATCTTGAACTCCTTAGTCATACTCTTCACAAAGTTTTCCACCAGCTTCTCTGAAGTTCCTCCAAAGATGATATCATCTACATAGATCTGCACCATCATCATCTCATTCTTCTTCAAGTGTGAACAAGGTCTTGTCCACAGTTCCTCTGACGTAGCCTGTGTCAATCAGAAACTTCGTCAGGTGCTCATACCAAGCTCTTGGAGCCTGTTTCAGTCCATAGAGAGCTTTCTTGAGCTTATACACATACTCAGGATGTGTAGGATCTTCAAACCCCTTTGGTTGAGCTACATATACTTCCTCTTGTAGAATGCCATTCAAGAAGGCACTCTTCACATCCATCTGATACACCTTGAAGTTCAATATGCATGCCATCCCTAGAAACAGTCTGATAGACTCAAGACGAGCTACAGGGGCAAAGGTTTCATCAAAGTCGACTCCTTCAACTTGTGAGTAACCTTGCGCAAAGTCTTGACTTGTTTCGTACAATACTTCCAGCATCATCTGTCTTGTTCTTGAAGATCCACTTTGTACCACCACGTTCACACCATCAGGTAGTGGCACTAACTCCCATACATCGTTTCTCACGAACTCCTCTAGTTCCTCTTCCATGGAGATGATCCAATCTGCATCTTCCAGTGCTTCACGATGATTTCGTGGTTCTATGGCAGAGACAAAGCACTCAAATTGGATAATTGCCATGCTGACCATCTGCTTATAGTTCATCTTGATTCCTCTCGTCCTTCGTGGCTCAGTGATGTCTCCAATCAGATCGTTCGAGGAATGGTTTCTGTGAACTTGTGTCAGTGGGAGACCTACATCAGGAGCTGTGTCAGAGACTTCCTCATGAACCTTTTCTTCTTCTTCACGAACCTCCTCTGCTTCTTTTCTGCTTCGCTGACTTCTGGTTCATGAAATATTGGAGAGTCTCCCATGGCCGCAATTGATCGATCATCAAAAACCATTGACTGACTCCATAATCATCTTGGACCGAAGATTGAAGACTCTGTAGGCTGAGCTATTGCCTGAATAACCCAGAAATATGCCTTCATCACTCCTTGAGTCGAACTTTCCAAGTTGATCCTTGTCATTCAGAATGAAGCACCTGCATCCAAAAACACGAAAGTAGCTTAAGTTAGGTGTCTTTCCTTTCCACAATCATAAGGAGTTTTGAGTAAAGCCTTTCTCATGTAAACACGGTTGATGATGTAGCATGCGGTGTTGATTGCTTCAGCCCAAAACTTCACAGGAATGTTTCCTCCATGGATCATTGCACGCGCCATCTCTTGAAGTGTTCTGTTCTTTCGCTCCACTACTCCATTCATCTGTGGTGTTCTAGGTGCCGAAAATTGGTGAGCTATGCCTTGGTCATTGCAGAACTTAGTCATGACCTCATTCTGAAATTCTCCCCCATGATCACTGCGTATGCGCTTGAGGCTTCCTTTCTCAGTGATAACTTGAAGAGCCCAAATCTTGAAACTCCATGGTGTCAGATTTGTCACGAATGAAGCGGACCCAAGTGTATCGCGAGTAATCATCCACTAGAACAAAGACATAGCGCTTTCCTCCAATGCTCTCCACTTGCATTGGTCCCATCAGGTCCATGTGTACTAGTCCAAAACAGTCTTGGATTGTACATCTGCCACCTTCTTGTGCTGAACCTTGATTTGCTTTCCTTGATTGCAAGGACCACATACAAGTTTCTCAGTTCCCTTCAGCTTCGGAACACCACGGACAATCTCCTTATTCACCAAGTCGGTGAGATGTCGAACATTCATGTGACCCAATCGTTTGTGCCATAGTTCAACATCATCTCGGACACTTAAGCACTTAGCAGATTGATCCCACATGTAACAGTTGTTGCCTGAGCGAACTCCACGTAGGACTGTCTTTCCGTCAGAGTCAATGGCTTTGCACTCTATTTGTTAAACCAGACCGTTAAACCTTCATCACAAAGCTGGCTGACACTGATCAGTTTGACTTCAGACCTTGAACGAGATAGACGTTCATAAGCTGTGGTTGCTCATCAGAGGTGCGTCCTTGCCTTGAATCATCCCTTTGGTTCCACATCCAAAAGTGACCTTCCCTCCTTTTAGCTTCTTCACTTCTTGAAGATTTTCTTTGACTCCTGTCATGTGTCTGGAGCATCCACTATCGAAGTACCATGGTCCAGTGTTGTCAGCTTCGTCGATTTCTTCAAGTAAGGCCATGTTGGAGTAGACACGCTGTCTTGAACCACCAGTTGATGTACGTCGGGCAGGATTCTGATATAGATCCGATTTTCTGATGAAGAACTGGTTTAGATGACGATTCCAATGATAGCGTCCTCGTTTCCATGCATAGTCGACTCTAGCCCAGTACTTGTTGCAGAAAGCCCTGATATGTCCTAAGGACCCACAGAAATAGCACTCCTTTCCTTGATGTTTTCCACTTGGACTCTGAAATCCTTTCGGATTGCGAGTTGGAGAAGAATCATATCCCAGTCCCATGGTGCTCTTCCCTCGATTCCCAGTTTTGAGAATGGAATCAAGTTTCTGAGCTGGTGTCTTAGTATCTGCTTGATGGACATCCTGAGCCAACCCTCCAGAGACAAACTTGACATTCTTCCAGTTGTAACACTGCTGGTGTGTATCCTAGACCAAGATTTGACTTCCCTACACGGCCAATGCTCAGAATCTTGTCGAGTTCCTTAGTACCAGTCAGCATCTTGAGTTGCTTTCTGTGTTGATCCAATTCAGCTTGTAGATTTCTGGAATTCTCCTTTTCCAGAAAGTACTCCTTGGTAATGTCGTCTGCTCGTTTAACTGCATCCATCTTTTCAAGCACGATGTTAAGATTATCCATGTTGAGATCCTTCTCGGCTTGAAGTGCTTTCTGAAGTTCGTCAACTCGTGCAGTAAGACGAGTATTCTCCTTCTTGAGCTCAATGTTTTCCTTCCCAACTTCTACCAAGGCATTACGAACTTCCTTATAGCTTTCATGGATATCAACTTCAGATTCATCATCTGTGAGTATCCTCTTGGTCAGATTCAGAGATCTTTGTATCTTCTATTTCAGCAATTCCAGCAAATGCGACAAAGTTACTGACTTCTTCCTCATCTTCAGACTCTCCTTCAGAATCTTCATCAGCAACACCCATCATCGACTTCCCCATCTTCTCATCATACTCACATTCTTGTTGTGTATGACCTATTCCTTTGCACTTGTAGCAAGTAATGCTTCTCCTCTTGACAGTGGGGCAGTCGGTCTTGAAGTGTCCATATCCCTTGCATTCATGACACTGTGACTCGGTTTTACTCGTCCCCTCGTTCTTGTCATAGGCTTCCTTCCATTGTTGACACGAGGCTGAGTTTTTCCAGTTTCATACTTCTTCAGACTCTGTCAAAGCGACGTACCAAGACTGATACTGTCTTCTTCAGGCTCTTCTTCCTGTTTCTCCGTTGATATGAGTGCAATACCCTTAGCCTTTTTGACACCTCCTAGTTCCAGTTCGTGTAGCTGCAGTTTTCCCACCATCTCGTCATAGGAGATCGTCCCAAAGATAGGATTTGCACTTAGTCCAGCCTTGTATGCTGTGAATTTGTCTGGAAGACACCGAAGAAGTTTCTTCACTAACTTAGCATCCTTGTATACCTTTCCCAGGGTACGAGACTCCTGAACGAGTGAGCTAAGTTTCGAGCTAAAGTCAGCAATTGACTCATGTTCCTCCATCCTCATATTCTCAAACTTAGTTGCCAATAGATCCTTCCTTGAGCTTTGAACTTGACTTGTCCCTTCAAAGTGGATCTGGAGAATATCCCACGCCTCCTTTGACTAGTACAGCCCTGAATCAGCTCAAACTGTTTCTTTGAGCAACTACCATTGATCTGTGCCAGTGCTCTAGCATTGAACTTGTAATCATCACGTTGGCAGTCCAGCGTTCTCGAGGCACTGCTGTAGTTACTCCTTCAATCGTGACTGTAGGTGGTTTCCATCCATGCTCAGTCAAGTACCAGGCGGCCTCATCAATACATTGAATATTTGCTCTCGTCCTTGCCTTCCAGTACGTGTAGTTTCCATCATCAAGTATCACCTTCAGCTCTGGGTGATAGCCCTCCATTCCGCAAGATCTCACCTGCTATAGCAATACACGCAAGGTGACTGCTCTGATACCAATTGAAAAACCAAGGGCTATTGATATGGAAGTAGATCACAAATTGGCACAAGGGATTTCTCTACAAAGAAATATATTACTAGAAATTCTTTAAGTGTAACTTACAAGTATTGCTTAAACGAATTGACAACCACAATCTATCCACGATCTTCGAACCTCTCAAGCCCTAACCCTTTTGTCCTAGCTCTCTTACAAGATGATCTAAACCCAAAGTCTAAAGCTCTCAATATTTGTGATAGCCGCTTCCAAGCAGCCAAGGTCCTCTATTTATCCTCAATAGACGAACCGCCAAACCCTACAAGGTTTGTCTTGGTGATTACTCCAAATCTCCAAGGGAATATTTCCTTTCCTTATTTTTCTCTAAGAATAGGAAATATTCCTTTTGTCTTGATAATTCCAAATCTCCTCATCCAGCTCAGCTACCGCCTCTTCTGGATTCGTCCTTAACCGCTACAAGCTCGCATCCAGCTCAGCATCTCCTTTAGCTCCGTTAAGCTCCGCTTAGCTCCGCTACAAGTAGGGGTGTCAAAATTGGTCATTACCCATGCGTTGACCGACCCTATTGGTCACAAATTTTAATGGGTTTGGGTTGAATTTTTTTACCCATATAAATAAATGGGTTTTAGCGGGTTGACCCTAATAGTCTATGGGTCTAACGGGTAAACCTATTAGGGTTACGGGTTACCCATGGGTTTATCAAAATAAAAATAAAAATTATAAATATGTACAATATTCATAAATTTATGATTTTATTTTATGATTTTATTTTATGTTTTCTCTAATTATGAGTATTTTATTTTATTTTACTTCATAACTATTATTATAAATTTATTTTTTATAAGTTTTAAGTATATTTTTAATAATATATGGCATGTTTAAAAAAAATTATTACTCAGTTATTTTTAAAAATTATATTTTATTACTCATTTTTAATATATATGGGTATCCATGTAACCTATTTAACCCATATGTATTAATATAATTGGGTTTGAGTTATAATTTATAACCCATAAAATAAATGGGTCGGGTCATAACCCGACCCTATAACCTTCAAACCCGTGTGGGTAACTGTCTGGTCGGGTTGAGTTACCCATTTTGACATCCCTAGCTACAAGTCCGTCCACACGTGTTGATGCACTTCCTGACTGATTCACGATCTGCGTCAAACCAACTGCATCTTCAAATATATTAACCTTTAACCAAAATAAGAAGATCATCACAGAGCATTCCTTTGTAAGTTTGATTTTTGATGCAATATATTAACCTTTAACCAATATAAGAAAGCCATAGATTGCTAGGCACATATGTTTTTTGGTCATACTTCTGTTGTAGACTTGTAGTAATACTCATTGATTATTTGATATATTGTATCTATTATCATAGTTAGGGATATTGAGGAATGAGAAGAAAGAGAAACCAAAAATATATAAAATAAAAATATGAGTACCTTTAAAAAATTTTAAAAAAAATACAAGTGACTTAAATATTTTTTTAGATAGGTCAAAAACATATTTATAAAACCTTTACATTTTATTTGAACTTTATTAGTGGGATTGGATTAGAGACTAGTATTTTAAGTTTGTCGATATTTTTTCTACTATAGTTATTTTTCTATAAATGTTAGAGAAGCAAAACACTTTTAAAAAAAAATTAGTTACACTTATCACTAGGCGAATTTCAACTAAAATCTTTCTTTTGTAAGTTTATCTTTAGTTTGCAGTGAACCAACAGATATCAAAATATCAAAATTGTATATCCAATTCTATGCAGTTTATTTTTCGAGTAGAGGAATATAAGCTGTCTTGTCTCACATTTTAAATAATGGTAAAATGTGAATAAATAAATAAATAATATCATGATATTTATATGGTATATTTATATCCCAATTTTCAAAAGAATAAGAAAACATGATAAGAATTTGGTATGATACTGAAAATTGTCAAAAAAAAAAAAAAAAAGCAAATATGACAAGAATTTGTTCTGATATACTCACAACTTTTTTAAAAAGGAAGAGAGTTTGGTCAGATATTCTCAATTGATAGAAAAGAAGAAAATCTGACAAGAATTTGGTATGATATTTCCAGTTGTAATTAAAGAAGAAAGTATGACAAGAATTTGGTCTAATATACTCCCAATTTTCAAAAAAAAAGAAGAAAACATGACAGGAATTTGGTCTAATCTTCCCAATTGATTAAAAAAGAAGAAAATCTGACAAGAATTAGGTAAAATATCCCAATTGTTAAAAAAGAAGAAAATATGAACATTATAAATTAAAAAAAAAAAAAAACTGGTTTCCATTTGGAATATTCCCACATTTTCTTTTTGTTTCTTCAGTTAAAAAATCGGTTCTATATATACTCCCCATCGTCGTTCGTTAGTCTCTCACTCCCTCTGATTACTTGTCCTTTTTTCTTCAATTGCGCTTTCGATTTCTCTCTCAGATCGACCGGACTATCACAGTTCTCTTGTGGATTTTGCGTATAAATTGTAAGTATTATTTATGTCTTGTGTCGATTTCAAACTACGATCATTGTTAAACCCTCAGTTGTCCCCTTACTAAATGTTCCAACATTTTTAAGCCTAAATTTGACGGATTTAACTGAATTTATTGTTTTCCATAGATATAATTATGTAGTGTAGAATCACTCATTTTCAAAGGTTTTGTGTTGTAATGATTTTGTGAGTTCTATGAGTTTTTCTTCATTAACTCTGTATATGAGTTTAATATAGGTTTCATTGAGCTTATGTAAATTTTGCTTCAAAATAGGTTTCTGGAAATGCTGAAGAATGGAACCACAAATACAAAGGCAAAGCAAAAGAAGAGGACTCTTCCAGAGAGCAACGGTCAATTTGAGATTCAATCAAGACCATGGGGGCATCAGTATAGGAAAGATAACAACAATGCAGATAAGCTTGACATGGAAAGAGCGAAGGAGAGAAAAACGAATGATCTGCCTATGGAATATCATTGCATAAGCTTGTATTCACTTGAGAGAGGAAGCTTATTTAGGTCTGGGGATATTTCTGCTGAGAAGGCCTATGCTTCACACATCCAAGAGGTAAGAATTATTTATTATGTAATAATATAGTGATGTTTTACTTTGTCGGTTTCTTAACAAGTTTATCTTACAATGTTTTTTCTGTTTTTTGGCAATTCTTTTTAGTTGTACTACAGCGAGGACATATCTGTTCTTCCTCTAAAGGCTCTAGAGGGAAAATGTGAAGTAAGGAAGAAACATGAATCAACAGTTGTTGTTAACCACTGCAATGTGATTCTAAGGTAAATAGTAAGAAAAGATTAAACACATCTTGCTTTTTTCAAATGTGGCTATATATTTTTTGTGTTGGTGATGATCTGTTTGTTAAAATGATTATCTGCAGAGCTATAATGGAAAAATGTAGAGATGAAGGTGAATGTATCTCTTCTAGAGAAGCAAATGAACTCACAGCTAAACTTGGTGAGGACCAGAAGCATACTCTGCCACTGCTTAGTCAAGAGGATTTCATCAACGGAGGCCCTCCATGCCAGGTATATATTTTTAAGATTGTTGCTAATTTGCTATATTTTTCTGCAATTTTAATTAAATAAGTGAAGAACTCTTAACCTCTGAAATTTTGCAGGGAATATCTTGTATGAACAAATTCAACCAAGGATTTTGGCGTAAAATTCAGTGCGAAATTATATTAGCATTCTTGTCGTATGCTGATTATTTCCGGCCAAGGTATTTTCTTTTGGAGAATGTGGGGAACTTTGTGTCATTCAATGAAGGGCGGACATTTCATCTTACTTTGGCTTCTCTTCTCGAAATGGGTTACCAGGTAAAATTCCTTGTGATATTAATTATTTTGTCTCATGCTCTTTGTGTTCTACGCTTGATTTCTCTTTAGTAGAATTATGCATGCCATTATATCTATTTAAAATGATGTGTGTTCAGGTGAGATTCAGAACCTTGAAGGCAGGTGCATATGGAATTTTCCAATCTCACAAGAGAGCTTTTATTTGGGCAGCTTCACCTGAAGAGGTTCTTCCAGAATGACCTGAGCCAATGCATGTATTTGCTACTCCAAAGTTGAACATCTCTCTATCCAAAAGTGTACACTATTCTGCTGTTCGTAGTATTAAGTGTGGTGCACATTTCCGTCCAATCATTGTGAGAGACAACATTGGTAATCTTCCACCTATAGAAAATAGAGAATCTGAGACCAACAAAGAGGTATGATAACACATAAAGAGAAAGTATATATATTATATACACACACATATATGTTAACGTGAATAAAGTTTTGGGGGATTCTTGTTTCTTTGCAGTATGGAGATGATCCGGTCTTGTGGTTCCAAAAGGAGATAAGAGGAAACATGATTGTTCTCACTGGTCATATTTACAAGGAGATGAAAGAACTAAACCCCATTCGATGTAAGAGGATCCCAAAGAGGCCAGGTGCTGATATGTGTGCCCTTCCAGCTGAAAAGGTAATGATCAGTCTTATGAAGAATTAAAAGGAATTGCTTCTAAAACTAGTATAGATCAACTCAAAATGCTATGTTTTACTCTTTTACAGGTGAAGTTATCAAATGGGCAGATTGAGGATTTGAGTCCATGGTGTGAGAAAAAGAAAGCTAAGACCGAGAACGTGTGGAAGCAACTGTATGAGAGACTAAACATGCAAGGCAACTGCCCAACTTCCATCACATATCTTATCATCCACCTTCAGGTTAAGTCCATAAGCCTAGGGAACATCATAAGAGTTTGTAGGGAAAATAAGCCACAAGCATAGGCCGATTGAGAATGTGGTGCCTCCAGCATTGTCCTTTGCTCTAGGACGTAAGCTCAAAGAAGCCTTACTTCTCAACAAGACTCTTCAAAACCAACCATAAAGCCACCACTTATATAGGACTAGTCGAACGTAAGCTCAAGGAAGCCTTACATCTCAAGTAGCATCTTCAACACAAACCCTAAAAACCAACCATAACGCCAAAACCAATGCTTATGTATACAGTATAATTAATTGTTTAAATTGAATATTCGTCGACATAAAATGTAAAGAGAGTTTTGTATATTCCATACTGAAATTAAAAAAAAAAAAGTGAACTTTGGTCTCGATTATGATACAAATAAAGCAAGCAGTGATGGCTATGATTTATCATTTTTTGGGTTAAAATGTCTATGGTTTATCATCACCTTAAAAGATTAATAACACAATGTTCAATAAGATAACAACTCCATGACTACGACTGATTCAGATTGTCACATGATACTCTTTTTTTTTTTTTTTTACTGAAAAATTCAATATATCTGTCATGGGTCTCAACGATGATCTCCTTTGGATTGGTCCTAAGTTATAACACATAGCAATCATCCTTTTCTATAACTTTTCAACCTCAAAACTGGAAAAGTTGAATTTTCAACATGCTTTGAGTTAAAATAAATCATATCCACAATCATGTTTATAAGAGCTTAATTACATGGATCATGAGAATTAGGCTTCATGTGGGCCTTAATAACTAAAACCTAAACACTGGTTTCTTGTGCAACAAGCATCTTAATTTCAATGGCCACGATTACACCATTCTTCGTCGCAATTATCATCAATGCACTATAACGATCAAAGGCTCACATCCAACTCAATTCTCGCCCAAACAATTTCTTCAGTTCTCAAGAGTGACAAAATGTTACAAACGAATTATATCTCCAAGTTGTTCCGAGAGCTAAACCTACTGTTTTCACAAAGTCTTTAAGTTAATAAAGAAGTCGAAAGAGCTCAAAATTTTAATTTACCTTTCAGGTCTTTAATTCAAGAAACTATGAGAGAAGCCAAAACATCACACCTTGAGAAGTTTTCAACTAAACCACCTTAGGAACTTTTCTCTGCTTGGTTTGGCCTGACAAGGGACACTGCATCTCAGTCCAACTTAGCGGAACCATTGTTTCACCACAACAAACATCAACAACATTTCAAATGTGACAACATCGGTTATTATTATCCACAAAAATAAAGTTTCCAAATGTGAAACGGAGAAAGTATACTAACATATTTCGAAGGCCTTCTAAAAAAAAAAAACAAAAAAAAAAAAAAAAAAAAACATGTATCAAAATATTTCCGTGAAGTAAACCTCGTTTATCACGTAATGAACAGCAGTTACATTAGTAACGTTACATCAGAGATTTTTTCGCTTTTAAGATTGTGGTCACTGTTTAGTGACAACGACGTGTAATAAGTTTCTTTCTTGTGTTTGTCTAATTTGTAATAGGAAAAATTGCGTAAAAAACTGTTAAGTGACGACATTTCCAAGAAAGTTGTTGTTTTTCAATTAATCTTAAACCTCCACAGCTCACCAAGAAACTGCAACAATCAAGTGTTGTAATTCAAGATGTTCCCAGCTAAACCTACCCTTTTCACATAATTTAAGTTAAATAAGATGTCAAAAGTGCTCAGAATTGTGACAATCTCACGTACGTTTCTTGTTATTGTAAAAACGCAATTTCTACAATGGGCGACTGATTAATGTAAAGTATAAATATGCACAAAATAATATAACAAATATTAAAATGATACAAAATAAACAAGAATTAAGGAAAACAAAACCGGATTTGCAGAGTCGAGATATGATCTCTTTCCTTAATTCTGTAAACGCCCCGTAGTGTGACGGTTGCATGGCGTTCCGAATCCCAGGATAAAACTGCACACTTCTTATGATTGCATCACTCAATACATAAGCTTGCGAACCATGTTTTCTGTGATGTACTCTCATAAGAAAAACAAAAAAAAAGAAGAGAAGTGAAGGATTGTTTTCTTTATGAATGATAATGATCAATGTTTTTCCAAGGAGGAGAGCATGGCTTTATATAGCTCATGCTCAATGTAACATATGGATAAAGTGGAGATTGACATTCATTGTTAATGTGCATTAAGTTTTATAAGTTACAAAATCAAATTGATATACTTAATTGTCACTTAAACATTAATGAGAAGAGATATTTGTTGACTTATCAACAAAAATTCAACAAGAATTAGTCTATCATAATAACTTACGGACTTGGCCCGATGCCAATCCCGAGGCCCGAAACAAGTTCAGCCCGGATATCTCTTTTCTCCACTTTAATACAAGAGGATTTCACCTCAAACTTCCAATATGGGACATTTCACAAATGTTACATTTTATGCTATACAAGCAACCCACTTGGACCTCCATTTCTCATTCAAACCAACTTCATTTTTGACATATAAATATATATCAAAAATAAGTTCCAACAATCCCCCACATGAATAGAAATGACTCTAGACACTGGACGACTCAACTCTAGACTTGACTCTCTAGACAAGACTCAAAAGACTCAAAAAACGACTTTTGAGAGTACAAGCGAAAAATCCACTGTATATGAGTTGGTAGCATTTTTCAGCCTTGAACCAAATCACTGTTATAAGCTATCGGATTTACTCGACCAAGAGGTGAACATGATGTCTTGAACCTCTCGGGCTTTGATGTAAACCGAGACAATAGCTATAACACAGCTTCATTCTCTCACAGAATCAGGTTCTCTATTGTGTTCATTTTGGCCGTGAACTTGCCTGGATAATCATGAGTGAACTTGGAGAATATAGCCTTTCATTTATTCTCCTAGAAACGGCCCCATTTCACACTCACAAGGTGATTCGCCATTAACTTTGTTTAAAGGAGTATCCTGCATTACTCCATGTATATTTCAAAGTTATGGACCCAAATCATTAAAAGCAAAAGCTTATCCTCTACACCATACAGGTAGCACTGTTCATCATCCTAGGAACTGGGTAGAGACATGAGTCTCCCAGTGCTAGTTGATTCAGTTTGACTTAGTTTTCCCCTTGAACCTATTTCATGGGATCTCCAATCAGTTAGGTAGGGTTACCATCAAACTCCTCTTAAGTAATAGGCTTTAAACCCATTCCTCTTGATGATTTTACAATTTATCTCATGACACACCTTTAATTGGATCCTAGGTTGTCATTCAAGTAGATATAATCTATTAAGATTATTCCATTTGAGATCAATTGTTTAACAATTTTAGGCAGTGGCATTGCAACTTTTGCTATGCACCCCCACACTTTTAGGTATTTGTACAAATGTACTTTACCTTTCAAAACTCATATGACATTTTGTCAATACTTTATGTGGTAAACAATGTTTTTCCCCCACATTTCTTGAGATAACTCAAAAATCATGCACTTTGCATTTTCACATTTTAAGTTTAAACAATGGCTAGAAAGATCAATATCTTTTGTAACCAATTTTAAACTCCTTTCCACAGAATTTGTCTAACATTAGTCTTGTGTTTACAACACTAAGCACTAATATGACAATATGATAAATATCATAACTTGGTACAATCACAAGTGGAAGACCATTACCAAAATAAATTTGGTATGTCAACTCACTAAACTTGTTACCAATAACCCTTCAACCACTAATGGTATGGAAAAAATCATAAATGGTAGACCACTCCCAACATGGGGTATCAACTCATTTGATTTTTCACTTTAGAAACATTTTTGTAAATGTTCTAATTTTTTTTTCCTTTTTCCTTGATTCAATTTGCATAAAAGCCAAACCTGAATCATCATACCAAAAATATTAGAAATATATCAAAATATATTAAGCAATTTAAACACTTCTGAAAATTGCAACATATAATTAAACAAAATTCCAGAATTAATAAATTCAAATTAACAATTTAATTAAATTCACAAATAACAATTTAATTCAGAAAATAATGCTTTAATGCAAGAATATGCAATATCTCACGATTCAATGCTGCAACAACAGTTATTATTAAAATGCATTGACCAAAAACTTCTTGATTAAAAAAAAATCAAAAATTCAATAGAGATTAATGCAACCATAAGCATAATCAAATAGATGCAACATAATAATAAAAAAATATATGCTCATGTGAACAATGAACACATGATGAATATCACACATATGTTTTCTTGATCTGCAAAAAATATCTTTTAGAAATATTGCAATAAAATTTCCATAAAATTCTGATAATCTACAAAAAATAATTAGAAAAATTTGCAGAGAAAATTGGAAAATTAATCCAATCATTCCAGAATTTCCAGTTCCTGTTTTCATAACAAAAACACTTCACAAAAATCAGTTTTCGTTAGTACAATAAGCAAAAACGAAAATTTACAGAATTAAGATTGAAAGAACGGAATTTCTACAATGGACGACTGATTATTGTAAAGTATAAATATGCACAAAATAATATAACACAATATTAAAATGATATAAAATAAACAAGAATTAAGGAAACAAAACCGGATTTGCAGAGTCGAGATATGATCTCTTTCCTTAATTCTGTAAACGCCCCGTAGTGTGACGGTTTCATGGCATTCCGAATCCCAGGATAAAACTGCACACTTCTTATGAATGCATCACTCAATACATAAGCTTGCGAACCATGTTTTCTGTGATGTACTCTCATAAGAAAAACAAAAACAAAAGAAGAGAAGTGAAGGATTGTTTTCTTGTATGAATGATAATGATCAATGTTTTTCCAAGGAGAAGATATGCATGGCTTTATATAGCTCATGCTCTACGTATTGTAACATACGTGTAGTAAAGTGGGATTTGACCATCATTAGTTGAATGTGCATTAAGTTTTATAAGTTAGAAAAATCAGAATTGATTTTATACTTAATTGCCACATTACCAACATCAATGAGAAGAGAATTGTGTTGACTTATTCAACAGTAAAATTCAACAAGAATTTTTAGTCCATCATAATAAACTTACGGACATTGGCCCGACTGTCAATCCCGAGGCCTGAAAAAATTTCAGCCCGGATATTTCTTTTCTCCACTTTACATACAAGAGGATTTTACCTCAAACTTCCAATGTGGGACATTTCACAAATGTTACATTTTATGCTATACAAGCAACCCACTTGGACTT